AGTCGAAAATAAACTCTATATGTTTATTACGTTGCAAAATAATGATACTGTAAAAATTAAGTTGTTTTTAACACAAATAGAACGATCATATACACACTAGCGGCAGTACATATTTTTGTGATCTAGGAACTAGCGGTATGACTAGCAGACGCCAAATGGTCGCACTAGGGCGGGAAGTCGGGAACTCTCACTGCCTGTAAATATTTACCTATATTTATTGACAACGGTCAATATTTTTCTTTCTACTTATAGCCAATGCACTAATTCTCTGTTTACACACGAATTATGTTAACACCATCACGAAATATAAGGCAATATCAGTGGAGTCAATGAGCGTATATATGAACCGCGTTCAAGGAAGGCACTTGGCGAACTGAGTCATATCGATCATCGATGATCCGCTGACCCATGTTCCGTTTAGCTGCGGCTTATGCTGCGGGAAGTGGAGCAAGTGGGTCACTATGACCCACTTCTGTGGATGACTCGCTTTTGGAGGCAAAAATTTCTCTCAGTGTGTAGTGCACTAACCAGTAGTTTAGCGCTGTATTTAGAGGACAGTTTGTGTTTTGATGCAATGGCAAGGTAGTGTATGTGGCTGCATGTTGATACGCAGGGAGCCGTCCCCCACCGTCGCTACATTGCCGCCCAAGGACCCAAGAGCGAAGAGCTGTGCACGATCCCTGACTTCTGGAGGATGATCGACGAACAGCAAGTGAACGTCATCATAATGATTGGGGACTTCATCGAGGACAACGCAGTGAGTTGCCTTGCGTCTACAATGATTGTATTGGTACTGTTTGCATCTAAAATTGATTTGCTACTTTTACAAATGTAGTTTTTCTGTCTTGCCATGAATGACGATTAAAGGCTAATATTTTCGTGCCTCAGAAATGGTGGCCTTTGGTCTATGTTTCTTTTTTGTAATCCCATACATATGAACTCATTACGTTATTCATTAGATAATCAATTTCCAAGTTTGAGAACCGATGGAAGGACAGAAGTAGATAAAAAATTTAACTTAGGAATAGATTTGGATTTTCGTTAAGTAAACTCGTGACTTAATCGCCAATTCACTCATCGAAAAAAAAAAAACAGAAAAATTTTTCAACAATAATATTATGACATTAACTGCAATCCAAGTTGAGTATTTCTCATCTCTATGCTGTGTTAGACCCAATATGGTCCATGGCCATCGGAATACCATGACAGTTGGTCATTGTCTTTCCTGAAGCGACGCTGGCGATATTTCCATCAACACGAATTAACTGCAAATTTCCATGCAGGCAATCGTAAATGAAATAGCGAGTCTGTGGCCGTAATTGTTACTACCTAATAAGATACAAACGAAGTAAGCCTAAGTAGATAGTAGACCTAATTTCATCCCATTTGATTCCATGTGGTTCTGGAACATTAGGCATTTTGCCATAGACTCGAAGGATGCGTAACTAATCTACATGATCAAATCATAATGCAGAGTATAAATTTTAACGGTTTTCGTCTTCATCAGGAAAGCTGTGGCCAATACTTCAGTTATGACGGCGTGGTGATGTTTCAAGATCCGCCGGTATCTGTGATGGTCACGATGTTGTCTACCGAGACCACCTCGAGCTACAACGTCTCTCGCCTCCAGGTAAAGTTCAGACGCATCTCATTATTGTTCCTTGCGCAGTGAGGTAACGCCGTGTGACGGGAGACAAGTTAAAAAATATATTAAAAAGAAAACACAGATCACACACAATACTAAAAAGGTCTGAGACCCACTGCCACACTCAACGCGAAAAAGATAAAACCTAAAAACAAAGCATGGAAAAAGAGAAAACTAACAGTCCGAAAGTACACCCAAAAACAAAAAGCGTACAAAACACAGCTATATGTTCAAGATCCAACAATGTTCGCAACTTCAAGTTCAAGTAATAGATGGACCTTGCGATAACATTTGTAGACTCCTATTGTAACTTGAAAAGTAACAACTCATTTATTCACAACAGTGTAACAATTTATGTTCCCCTGCACCAGGTAAAGATGGAAGTGGAAGGCAAGTCTGTGTTGCGTGACGTCACTCACTACCACTACGCCGCGTGGCCGCAGCAAGGAGATCCATCCGATACACTCGCGCTCGCCAGCATGCTTCTGGACATTGCCTCCAGTCACCCCAAAAGTATGTTGGTGTGGACTGAACGTTTCATCAATGGCGATGCAAATTTTATTGCATGCTGCATGCGGTTCATTGCCAACAAATGTAATGTTTGCGTAGATCCACTTTAAGGGGAGAGTGTCGGTCAAAAATCGATAAATTTTGCTTCTCCGTTTTCTGGGCTCATTTTGTAGCTGCTGAAAATGCGCGTCTAATGCAGCCAACCGCATGTATGTGCACGCTCTAAGTTTGGCGTAAAACAATTTAAAAATATATAAAATAAACATTTTTTAACAATATGTACAAAGACTTCTTTAAATTAAATCTGTATTTACAGATCATTATTCTCGTTAATTGTAAAGTGTTTGCACTCGTTTGATAGCCACAAACGATGCGCGTTCAAGAAAGCAAATACCACGGATTTACATGCAATTTTTTGCGTTAGGCCGTTCAGAACTTATATAAAGGCAACATGAACATGTTTTAATGTATAAATAACGAAAAAATCACATTTAAAGCTTATTATGCACGTTAAACTGCTCAAGAATAAGTCTAAAGACGCGTGCTGCTACCCTAAATGAAACTAATTGGCAATGGGAAAGCATGAGCTACAATATCAAGCACTTTTTTGGCATATTCTTCTTTTTTCAATAAATTTGATTTTATTAGCTCCCCTGAACAATTAAAATTTCCAAATACGCCATCTTAAAAATCGATCTCCTCCTATGATTTTCAAGCTACAGCATTGAGAGATATACCATTCGATTTGCAAGAAATATCTCTACACTATCTAAACTTTTATTCCTGTCAGCCGCTGGCACAAGGACGTTCTTCTAGCGGTGTAAATTAGAAGCTCTATATGTCCGCTTTAGGTTCCGGTTGCCGGAGCGAAATAAGCGCCGAAATGGAATCTTGTGAAATACCCGTCGTGCTTGGGGCGATCGTGGGGCGCACGTATTTGGTACCTGATACGTTCGGGACAGACACGGCCAAATCTGAAAAATGCGTTATAAAAATGCCCCCTTCTTCCCTCCTTATGGGGGGAAGGGAATTGCATTTCAATCTCTGTACGTTATATATATGCAGTCTATATAGTACCACTCGCTTAAATTTAAGATCAGAGCTCAGTCTATCAGAGGCTCAATTTCATGCAAAGACGTTTACAGCTAGCAACTATTTTGACATGGCGTGGTTAGAAATGAGGGCAATAATCGCAAATAAAAAATTCAATCGATACATCAATATCACTGATTCGATGTAATGCAAGTCAAGCCAATTTGTCCTATTAAATCCATGTATCCTACTGAATTAACAACGTTGTGTTTAAATAACCGTTGAATTATTTGCCGATTCATTTCGTGTAACTTTCGTCACATTAAATTTCTATCGAGCAAAGAGTTCTGCAAGGGCCTCGAATTTCTGCGTCCATTGACGAAAGACCGCACAATAGAATCGAGAAGCATATGTTAATCTTAACAAAATCGAGTTATGGCACTAACTTGATTGTAGCTTTCAGTTGTTCATAGTTCATAGCAAATGATGATCTTTCTGCATTCATCGCCGGCTGCTGCAATGTATTGAGTAGTATGTAGTTCTTCATAACACATGTAGTTCTTCTCACGCATTAAAGTTATCAACTGCACTCTAAATTCCTGGAGAGACAATCAAATAAATACCAGGATATACGATAGTTATGGAAATCCTCAAATCAAATGTGTTGCCCACAGAGTGGCTCCTTGTAAGCGATAGTTCATAAGCTATCTTCTGCTTGAGAAATAAGCTCAAGCATGCAAACATATGCCCAAAGCTGAACAGTTCTTTCGTTGAAGAAACCATTCGTCTAGCAAAAAATTTTACCGGGGTCTGAAAATACAGCTTGCAACTTCGGAAAAATGAAGAATATAAACATTTCTAACGTCTAATTCCATTCCAATATTGCTGAGCTCGATTGAAATTTCCTGAATCTATCCTCGTATAATTTGTAGTTCTTCAGAAATAGCCAAATTCATCCATATACTTGAATGTAACTCCATAATGAAACTTGATGATACAACGAAATATAGTAGATTGAACGGAACAAAAGCAACTAACTTACTTGCGAATAATCGGAATACGCTCTGCAACCTGTTCCATCGTCTTCAGCTGGCCCGCCCAGTGCTGTCGACTGTTGGTTAGGTAGCATCGTAGTCGTAGGCAATGATAAACTTTCGAGTTTCGACTCCACAAATTGATCCAGTTGACGTGTTGATTTAGAAATTAGAACCTTAAGCATATGAACAGGAGCAGCTTAAATAACATGCTCGTGTTAACATGCCCAAAGTTGAAAATTTCTACCGCTGCCAAAATCTTGAACACACAAATGCGTAGTCATGATGAATGTCGCCTGCCGACGAGAACTTGAGAAGTATTGCAACGAACCGATCAAATAACAGCTGATGTAGAGCATATTCCTCAAGCTGTAAACTTCTATTATTGTCGAAAAAATAATTTGCATCGTATAAATGCTGTGTTTTCAAAGAAGTGATGGTGAAAGATACACCATACAACTACATCTTAAAAAAATACTCTAAGGAAAAACTAACAAATTTTCCTTCACAATTGAAATTTTCCAGTCAAATACGTCATTATTTAATTAAGGAAGACAACACAATAGAAAAGTGAGTGTTAATCTTGACAAAGCAAGTAGCATGATTGCAGTAAGGAGCCACCCGATCACACTTCAAAGGAGTCAACAATTGCATTTTTGCATTGGAAGTGTTGAGCTCTAATTAAAATTCGTTTCAAGCTTTCAAACTATCAACTGCACTCTAAATTCTTGGATTCATAACCGAAATTATGACGGAATATCCGATAGTAATGTGAAATCAAACAAGTGGCTCACAAACAGGGTTGGCAATGATTAAGTCAAACTAATTAAATCATGTGATTAAATCATTTGATTTTTTTATAAAAATCATGATTTTTTATCCTATTTTTTTTTATTTTTTATATATTTAAATGTATTGAGTGGTATTATTCAAGTATTTTGAGGTATTATATTCGTGGTTTAGTATATTGGCCATTCTTGAAGGCAATAAGTTCCCTTTTTAGCCATTCATTATGATCCATATACTGGTATTGTTAGTAGTTGCAACATAAAAAATAACATTTCACCAAGACAAGAAAACTGAAAAAATAATAAAAATCAAAAATATACTATGACAAATTAGAATATAAACCTGTTGCCTTTAGTGTGTATTGGGTTCCAATGAATTGTATGTTTTTGGTACAGAGGCATCAAGTGTTGCAATACATTGTATATAGATAGCAGCTTACCTAATTCTAATAAGGCTATAAGTAGTCTTTAACTATTTGACTACTTGTTGCAGTTGTAGTAAAATTCGGGGTCCCCCCGGTTTTACCCCGCGCTCTCAGTACGCGTATTGATACTTGTATCCGAACAACTTTATACTCACTACCGGGAAAATCCAGAGCGACATAAAATTTTTACTTTTTCCATCATAACTCGGCAACGGCTGCTCCGATTTTCCCTGACGCCAAGTCCCACCTTAATGGAAGACGCTGCTTGAGCACATTGAATGAGACATCGTGGGATGTAAGAGGGTTTAGTTTATCTATATTTATATTAAAATGTAGGGGGCAAGGGAACATTCTGGTTATATATTAATTACAATATACAATTTAAATGTGTTAGCTAGCTTATATATTGAGAGGTTGAGATTGTATTGACCTTTTAAGCAATTAGAAAAATTTTCAACCCTAATATGAGCATTTTAATTAAAATATTAAGTTTCAATCTCTATATATGTGAATTTAAAACTGAAAACAAAACAATTACAATTATAAAATTATATATAAAGAAATTAAATGCAGTGAATGGAAATAAAATGTTCGAATCGTGCACATGTTTATTTTAAACAGTGTTAGCTTTTCTCATGACGTAAGTCTCGTTTCACGACGTTTGAGGTTTGTTTATTTATCGTTTCAGTTTATGTTCAGTATTGGTTTATTGGTCTGAATCAAATGGGAATATTGCAGTCAGTCACTAAGTCACTACTAGTCGGTGTGTTAAGAGGGTAGAGTCTGATAGATTTATAGGACAAAAAACTAGTAAATCTATTGATAGTGTTGTGCACTGTGCTATCAGCAACCTATCTGTTATATGACTCTTCAATGTTTAGAAGATCCGCATTCCTGAAGTGTTTTTGTATATTGAAGCCTGTTAAATGGTCAATATTTAGCTCGTTACCTTGCTTCATGCAAACTTTACAAAGCTAATGAATAGACTTATCAATAATTGTTTACCCAAAAGTCCCGAAGTGGTAAACACCACCTTGGCCATTCTTGAAGGCATTAAGTGCCCTGTTTAGCCATCCATTATGATCCATATACTGTTAATGTTGTGTAGGCTAAATGCTAATTGCAACATAAAAATAACATTTCAAAAAGATAAAAAACTGAGAAATAAAAAAAATCAAATAAATAAAAAATTATGCAAAAATAAAGAAATCGTTGATTTTTTATTTCTTTTATTTCTTTTAAAAAAGTAAAAAAATCACCAACCCTGCTCACAAATGGAATCGCGTTTGAACACGTAGCTAATCCCAGCCTGCTTGTACGCGATAGTTCACACCGATACCACAGCTACCGCATCGAGAATGTTCTTGTACCGCACTGGACTTGCCTTTAGAGGCTCCCGAAAATTACGACGATCGTTCTTATATAATCTTCAATAATTAAGCTGTCGGCCGTGGGGATGATGGAAATTCCAACTTAAAGCACACATATCTGCAAGAGCTACTTCTGTCGCCTCTCAAGCAGACATATGCCCAAAGCTGAACATTTCTCTTAGTGAAGTCATTATTTCGTGGGCTTGAACTTCCACAAACACTCAAAATATTAATTTTTATCTTGTTCAGTGTATACAAGTGCAATGGTCTTTACAATCAAAATGTTAAAGCTCACTGAAGGAAATAAAAGTAATACAATTTTTTGAAACGCATTAATCACTCTTTCGTACGCCCCTCTCCACTGTTACATTCAGACTGCCGTGCCGTCTGCGTCTAGCTTATAAGCTTAATGCTGACTTCCGGCAACGACCGCTTTGCGGGAGGTGCGGGAGGTAGACCCCCGCATACCCCCGCATGGTGAGAGCTAGGAATAGCTGTATGACTGAAAGCTCTGTTCGATGCGCACTTGAACTAAAGAAGCATGTAAACCTGTCCCGTTGGAGCTTGACTGGTATTGCATGTACAATTATCGAGTAGATTATGGTCTGTGAATTGGAGCACAAGCGGCGCATACATGTTTGAGCGCACGTAATGCAAGTTCACCTTTCATTCTTACACTCATCGGATTGATTCGATTTTCAGTTAATTAACAACTCCCGCAACTTTAATTATGGCGTTTCTTCTTCCGGTGTGTTAAGCGACCTCTGGGAATCTATACAAAAATTTAATGTAATTAGTAGATTGAGTAAAAGAGAATTGCGGTATTCTTCTGCGTTATTTATCATATTCATAGATTAGAATAAGTTATAGATTTCTTAATATGATCGAGTATCTGCTTCAATTTATTCTTCACACTCGATGATGTGACTAAGAAGTGGGTATAATATGAAGAAGTGCCATGTTATAAATAGGTGTCTTGAAAAGTAGGTGCATGGGTTTGTTCATCACAGGCTAAACTCACCATGCTACATGTTACAGTCGACTCTCCTTTCGTTCCGTCGTATCACATCGCGAACGTACGCGTGAGCAACACGCACTCGATGCAAGCGTGTTGAAGGTAACGCAACATAAGCATGTTGACGTACACACAATGCAAGAGTGTTGAAACACTCGCGTGTTGATAAGTTCGCACCCATGCTTAATGCACATGCAGCGCCACAACTAAAGGCAGGGGCTTGTCACGCTCGCGCTAGAAACTCATGCCAGCTACTGAGCAGGGTAATCTAATGGTGGCCTGACCAGCCGCTGATTTCGTGTCATTTGACCCTTATATTTGTCCCCATGAAACTACCCAAAATAGCTCCTATTTGGACGCAAAATAGAAGAAGCGGCAATTTCCCATCCCTATCGAAATTTGAAGACCTGTCAGCCGCTGGCACACGGACGCCCCAAGTTCTTATGGCAGGGTAAATTAGAAGCTCTATGTCCGCTTTAGGTTCCGGTTGCCGTAGCGAAATAAGCGCCGAAATGGAATCTTGTGAAATTACTCGTCGAGCTTGGGGCGATCGTGGGGCGCGCGTATTTGGTACCTGATACGTTCGGGACAGACACGGCCGAATATGAAAAATGCTTTAAAAAATGCCCCTTCCCTTCCCCCCTTATGGGGGAAGGGAGGGGGCATTTCAATCTCTGTACGTTATATATATATATATATATATGCAGTCTATATTGCACTACTGGCTCAGTTTTAAGATCAGAGCAGTCCACCAGAGGCTCAATTTCATGCAAAGACGTTTACAGCTAGTAACTTTTATGACATGGCGTGGTTAGAAATGAGGGCAATAATCGCAAATAAAAAAATTCAATTGATACATCAAAAGGTATCCCTGATTCGAGGTAATGCAAGTCAAGCCAATTTCTCCTATTAAATCCATGTATCCTACTGAATGAACATCGTTGTTTTTAAAATAATCGTTGAATTATTTGCCGTTTCATTTCATGCAACTTTCGTCACATTAAATTTCTATAGAGCAAACAGTTCTGCAAGGGCCTCGAATTTCTGCGTTTATTGACGAAAGATCACACAATAGAACGGAGTAGCACATGTTAATCTTAACAAAATCTAGATACGGCACTAACTTGATTGCAGCTTTCAGTTGTTCACAGTTCTTAGCAAGTGAGGATCTTTCTGCATCCATCGTCAGCTGCTGCAATGACATTTGTTATTGACTTTCACATGTAGTTCTTTACAAGCATCTAAGTTATCAACTGCACTTCAGAAATAACCAAATTCATCCTTATACTTGAATGTAACTCCATGATGAAGCCTGATGATACAACGAAATAGAGTAGATAGAACGGAAGAAAAGCAACTAACTTACTTGCGAATAATCGGTATACGCTCTGCAACCTGTTCCATCTTGTTCAGCTGGCCCGCCCACTGCCCAGTAGTGTCGAGTGTTGTCAGTCGGTTAGGTAGGCTAGCATCCTAGGCAAAGGTGAGCTTTCGAGTTCCGACTACACTTAATCCAGTTGACGCGTTGATTTATAGAAATTAAAACCTTAAGCATATGAACAGGAGCATATTCCGCATTAGAGCATATTCCGCATTAGAGCATATTCCGCATGAAATCTTCTCTTATTGTCGAAAAAAGAACTTGCATCGTATGATTGCTGCGTTTTGAAAGAAGTGATGGTGAAAGATACACCATACAACTACATCTTATCAATAAAATACTCGTGGGAAAACTTAACAAATTTTCCTTCATAATTTAAATTTTCCAGTCAAATACGTCATAATTTAAGGAAATTGTTTAAAGCTCTCTGACAGCATCAAATTGTTTAAAGCTCTCTGAATGAGACAAAACTATAATAGTACCTTTTCGATAAGCATTGAGCAATGAGCACTCTTCACTAGGTACTGATCGAGTCACGGTTCGATCTAAACTGGCGCCTTTACTGCAACGGTTAATGCTCTGTCCGGATGGGGGGTGCGGGAGGTAGACCCCCATGCACATACTCGCATACCCCCGTATGGCGGGAACTTCGATTGTTCGTGCGTTTACCATTGTTCAGACTCTGACCAGCCCCATCTTGCGGTAGCGTCATCAGCGTTTGACCATGGGCATCATGACGAAGCTTGACCAGCTGCTCTTTTTAATCATATTACGCAGATTTGGCCTACCGGGCAATTGACTTCCAAAAGAGGCTGGTAAATAGAAGCAAAACACCCTACGTGGCCGACTTGCTCCTGATTCACCCCTAAGCCGAATATAGTTCCTCTAAAACGACCTTAATCGGCACGAAAATTTTGACAGGGATCTGATTCATCTCTAATCCGAGAGTCGCAACCGAAACCGGAACGACAGCCGCGCGTAAATTCGGACAGGGTAGAGATAATCCGGTCATTTTTCGATTTCTTTTGTTTTGCTTATATATTGAAAAAGGGGGGGAAGGGTTATAATTAAATTCAATCAGAAAAATAAAGAATAATAATAATTCCAATAAATTAACGGATGATCTTTAGATATGGTCTTTACGCATCGAGTGATATGTCTCTCGATGTTGTAGCTTGAAAGTCCTAGGAGGAGGTAGTACATTTTTTCTGCCGTTTTCTATGCATTTCACGTTTTCATTCGTTTTTTCGGAAAATTTATATGAACAAAAAGTCTTTGATTTCTATTTTTCATATTTGTACCAAGTTTCATAATGATCCGTTCGAAAATAAGAAGGCTTTTTTGACCGACATGCCCCCTCTAACGCACGCTTTTCACTCGTCACCAGTGCACGCCGTAGTCCACTGCAACTCGGGGGTTGGTCGTTCCGGCGCAGTGATCTACACCATGATCTGCTACGACCACCTACTGGCTTCCGGAAAACTGGACGTTATAGCAGTACTAGAAGGTGTGCTGCAGGAACGAGCTTGTCTTGTCGACAGCCCCCAACGCTTCCAACTCTGTCTCCAGCTGCTGGACGAGCTCTTGTTTGGTTTCAAAACTGTAACAAGCGAAAACGAATTACATGGAAAATTTCTGCAGCTCCTGCAAAAATGCCCCGAATGGTTTGCAGGAGTTAATACTCTGCCGTCATCGCTAACGTTTTCAGAAGCGGGTTCGAAACAGTGCACCGCGTTCAACCGTTCACCCGAAGTTTGGCCGGCAGACAGATATCGAATCTCCATTCAGGTGAGCGTAGCTATCAAACATTAAATCATCCAAGGGTAGAAAAAGATTTTCTTAGTACATATGCTGCAGTGCTTCATTTTCCCATTTTTCGAACTTCCTTGAACAGTGTTGCTGACTAGGTATCTGTTGCTCGTGTAACTCACTTATGTATTGTCATGCAGTTAGGTTCAATAAATACACGCACAGCGAGTTTTTACACCTGTACTTCTTTCACGGAAATTATCAACACCTGAAGTGCGATAAACTCTAATAGTAAAATGAAAGTATTGCGAGCAATACACATACGATAAAAATGATACGATAATAAAATTATTCTAATTCAATTATAATATAATAATAATATTATTATATTATTATTAATTATTATTATAATTAATAATTATAATTATTAATTATTATTATTGAAATTATTCAATATAATTCTATATTCCCTAATAACAGAACGCTATCGGACAACCTCAGTACATCAACGCAATACTACTCGATGGACTCCAGAAAAATCGAGCCTACATCGTCACGGAACATCCACTTCCAGGCCGTTTGGAGCATTTCTGGAACCTGGTGCTCACTCAAAAAACCCCGGCTGTTGTGGTGCTCAACGCGCTGTACGATGAGGTGAAGGCAGTCATGGTGTAACGTGCTGTGTTCTCAAGTTTCCAAGGAGACTCTGCAGGCCGTACTTTGGCAGGTTGTTGTATGCAGGATGGCAGGATATTCACATCAATGACTGGATGCGTTCCTTTCAGTGTGTGAAGCCTGAAGAAGCATTGAAGACCTTAATTGCACCTCGGACAGAACAAAAAATTGGGTTGTGTCCGTGATAACGCCCCGATTGGTGTTAGGTTTACCTTTACAATGAACAATAATCTATAGATTTACTAAATTCGATTTGATCGAATAAAATTTTTTTATAACATCTAAATGAAATGCAAACAATTAGTTTGTATGCGGACGAAAATTTGAATTACCGGCGAAATACTCTTATTTGTTGTCACCGATGCTTCAGGCAAATGCTCCAACGTCCACTGATTATGAGTTTGACTTTTAATCCTTCAGACTCAGACCCTTAAATTGCGGTTTTGCCATTCAAGTATTGCATGTATCTATCTTTTTCTTCTTCCTATTAATTATTCCAACATACTCTGATAGAAGCAGTAGTTTTCATTTTGCTTATTTCAGAACTTCCCCGAGCTGCTCCCTCCAGTCGGCGCTACACTGAGAGCGGCGACGGTGGAGGTGAAGACGGTAGCCAAGATGGCCGCGGCTTCTCACCTCATTTGCCATCGCGTTTCAGTCGCAGTCGGCGCGGTGAGATCAATGCTTGTGTAATGGAACAATAACTGTTGGGCTAAATGTAATGTAAGAGAAAAAAAATTCGGTAGCAAACCAAATTTAATTTTGTATCTTTGTTGGTAAACCACGGACCACTTGTTGCACCGTGATGTGGTATTGTATATGTTGCTAATAGTTTGGTATCTTGTACAGTAAAACTTTGTTTGAATTTCATGCATTAGACATAAGTTGCACTATTAGCCTATTCTTTCTTGTACGAAGAATTTATCTCGTATATTTATAATCTTATTAATACTTGGGAATAATTTATTTCTTTTTATATATTTTCTCCTAAATGGATTGAAAAAAATTCTGTACTCTGAAAAAGAGAAGCAAACTTTTTGCTAAAATGAAGCGAAAACTATACCACAAATCAAGATGTTACTCAATTTCTGCCTCAGACATCAGCTGCAGTGTTAGTGTACGAGGTGATGGACTGGCCTCGCGGGATGGCCTGTCCTCTTGACGTCAGTTCCTTGGTCCGCCTTGCCGACACTTGCTGCAGCTCACCCAACAAGTCTGCAGGGCCCACTGTGCTCGTCTGCGGGTGAGAGCATGCATTAGTATTCTTACCTTCACATTATTATTATATCAATAATTATTGTATGACGGAGGGAACGACTTCAGGTTCATACAGGAGGATAAAACACCCGCCATTATCTTTGATTCGCAAACAAAATGTGATGAAGGAAAGATGTCTTCATTGCAGGGATGGCGTGACTGCCTGTGGCCTGGCAGCGGGCGTCCTGAGCGTCGTCGACAGGCTGAAGGAGCGGCAGGACGTCGACGTCTACAGGACCGCCGTCAAGCTGCGCCGCTACCGCCAGCAGTTCATCATCAATGAGGTGAATAACATAATTACCGGCAAATCAAGATAAATCATTTGCCTAACTTCTCTCCAAATAATTACATTCCTCATACTAATTTAAAGCATCGAGCTTATCACAGCTAAGACAGTTAAAAAATCAAACATATGAACTGACAAAAGAGGTGACTTTCTATTATCATATCCCTAATTTTCCTGATCTTGCCCCATTTATCAGGCGCAGCTGCAGTGCATGCTTCAGGCAGCCAGGACTTACCTCAGCGACTTCCGCGTGTACCAAAACTGACAGCAAAAACCCAGTGAGTTTGCGTCGTGGCACTCGGAATTTAAACGAAATGAAAAATACTCTTGTAATTTTGAACATTTATTCAGACGCAAATGATATTGAATAGTAAAATAATTTAGGCTTGAAGTTCTCTGATTATTGAGAATTTTCCTATCGTTTTTTGAAACTCACATGGCTGGGATGCTGTGAAATAGAAAACGATTGCTAGAGGTTTTAGGATCCAGTTTTAGTCAAACTTACGAAGTATGCATTTATATATAAAGCTTATAAGAAATAGCATTTTCCGTACTACCCGAGATCTGAATTTTACATCAAACAAACCGTAAAAAATGTTGCCTGTGGTGCTTTTCAAAATTGATACGTATGCCAATCAAATTTCGTAATAAAATTAAGACAGTGCGTAGGAAACATCGAAATATCTGTATATGTTTCAGCCAAGGTGGAGTGGGTTTGACGTCACTGGAGGGCAACTCGACTTTCAAGAACTGGGCTTTGCGACGGTCATCGTCTTCGTTGCTGGACTAATTAGTCGTTGCTTGTGACTAAATTGTGCCAGATAGAGACTTGAAAGCTGTAACTTTTGTTTCAAGTCTGTGCGACGCATTTATTTTAAAAATTATTTGATGTTTGTCTGGCATGAATTGTAACCAAGTTTATACACGTTTTGTTTACATGCTGAGATGCATATTATGATTCAAGACAAATTTAAGACTCTAAACTAGTTTATAAATGCATTTATGCTCGATAAGCGTCGCCGTATGTAGGCATAACGTCAAGCACTTTGTATTCTAGACTGACGGGCCATGAAGTAAGGAGTTACTGAACTGGACATATTTCAGTGCGTCTCTCGCATTCGACTGAATGCATAAGGAGATTTTAAATTTTTAGTTTTCACTCTCGGTGCGTTAATTAGCACTTTCGTTTCACGAATTTTATACGTCTTGTATATTTAAAATCGAAGCCTAGTTTGTTTGACCACTTATGTTTTTTTCCACTACTCGAAATTTTAAATAGATGAGTTTGTCTGTTTTTTTTTGCTACGTAATTCGCTTGCTAATTTAGATTTAACGTATTTTTCGCACATTTTAGATTCAATCGTCCCTGTATTCTAGAATTTTTGAAATGACGATGTGGTAGCTGGATCCTGAAGCGAAATCTATAGAGGTAATGTTAATTTTTTATGGCATTTCCGTTGCTATTAAACTTATAAAAAATTTGCTGCTCAAACAATCAAGTGACATTTATACGTTTTCAACATTCATTCAACGAATGAATCTTAATATACTGTGATCTGAGGAAGAAAATTATGCAGGGAAATTAATGAGGTCCAATTATGACGGGATTTTCTTAACTTTCTATCTCACTGATAACGATTGATTAAATCGAGTCTAGTTTAGTGACGAAGTTAAATTTGCTATCGTTTATTGTAACGTTTTTCTGACCACTGCTGCTGAATGCCAACACGGAGGCCTGCTGAGCTACCCCGGCTACCAGCCATGAGTCGTTGAGCAAAAAAACTGTTGAGAAAAAAATAAACTCGCTATAAAATGTTGAAAAAGTTCTAATTCTATGTTTCAAAGATATGAACTGACAAAAAGATGAATATTACTATTATCATAACCTTAATTCCCCTGACTAAAAATTTTATGCCAGCTTCAAATGCTTGAGCGTCACGAGACACAACACATTGCAGGTTCATTGCGTGAATGGTAGCGCTATCTGCAACACGTAAGACGTGAACTTAGTGCAAAGCACTAGGGAAGTTTATGTTCCAAAATATTTATGAGTTTGCATGTAATTATGTAGCGTCTCCTTTAATGTTCTACAATATTGAATGACCATATTAAGAGACATATTTAAATGGGACTGTATGCGCATAATCACAGTTAAAATATCATTTTCACGTAAGAACAATTGTATTTTATTTAATTCTAACGGCTCTCTCATTTATGTAAGTCGTTTTTTCCAGTCAGTTTCTTTGTTTTCCTTTTTGTTTCATTTGTTGAATGCAATTTTGATAATTTCTTGCACCTATCGAGCTCGACAGCCTACATGACGAACTTAAATCTGCGGAAAGAGAACCAGTATTTAACTATGTCTTTAACTTTAGTTTTAAGGCGTTCAGGACTATTTCAATAATTCAATAAATCATCAACATTTCAAACGTGTACCGAATCCCTTTCACATAATTAAATAACTGACAAATTTACTACTGCGATTTATCGAGAAGAAATTTTGTTAATAAATATTTTATAAAACTCATTAATTATGCTTACAGCTGATGATAAATTTAACCTGTTGACAAGTTACCCTATCAAAATTTTGAGGATGGCTAGGTTCTCAATTAAAGACGCCTTCAGCTCGCCCAACGCGTAAATTAGCGGCTTTACGCTAATTAGCGGTCCGCTTTACGCTCTGGTTGTACGAGCGAAATAAAAGTCCGATTAGAATCCGGTCACAGACCGAGTGAGCTTGGGGCGTTCGTGGGGCGCGCGTATTTTGCGCCTGATAGCTTCGGCATAGACACAGCCGAATCTGAAAAGTGCGTTAAAAATGCCCTCTCCCTCCCCCTTACCAATTGGGAGGAAAGGGAGGGAGCATTTGATGCCGAATAATAGACATATAGAGGGAGCTGGAATAGGGAGCTGGAAGACAAGTCAGCGGAGCTGGAAGACAAGTAAGAAGTCATGTCCATAGAACCAGGCCTGTAAATAATGTAAGAAATAAACGCATGAATCAAAGTGAAAGACGAAAAGTTCAAGAATCGGCAACAGGCCATGGGCCTATTTCTTCAACGCCGACACTTCTATTCTTCTATTCTATTCTAATAACCCATTCGAATTTTTCGCTCCATTAGGGGCCGCCGTAGAGGATAGACAGTCGGCTTAGGGGTGACTCAGGTGCCTTTCGGTCACCTAACTGCAATCAGCGGCTTTATACAAAATTACGGATAGGCCGAATATAAAATAATCACACCGAAAAATTCACCTGGCTAGGCTTCTGTGGACAGACGCTGTTAATTGAACGAGCTATTGCCATCTCCCGCTCATCATATGGCGCCGATGTTTGTTCACGCGTACTTTAGTTTGTTAAGTCATAGCATGGAACAAAATGCGAATTGACTTTACGATTTTTTTAGCTTTCGTTGTACCCAACTAGTAAATCAGTTACGTACGTGACAAAAACCATTGACAAACTTGATAGAGTACGTGGTAGCAAAAAATAAATCCCTTTAGCTCCATGAAAAAATTGCAGAGTCGTATCATAAGATAAATGACTGATATGTAATTGGCAGAACCAGCAATAGATGAACGTTCGATTTTACATGCTGGGCCAACAAGTTTATATTAATATTCAGTTTACTATGATGTTGGTATGGAACTACTTGATATAGGCATGGCTGTGCACTGCCTGGTGACAGGCATTGTAGATTACAAGTTATCTTCTGTTGTCCAAACAAGTTCTACAAAATTGAAATATATACAGGTCAAGATAATATTGTGGTACGATTGACAAAATTCCTAATGTAGTCTGACATGGAATTCTAAAAAATATGATAGCGATAACGGGCCTATAAATGTAACGACTTATTGCGACATAAATCACGTTCCCTGTTCTAAACGTGTAACAAAGCTAAAATTTCGCCCGAATGCACTACAGCGCTTCGTTGCAGCTGCAGCACCAACAGCTGCAGGTCAGTGGACAGCGAACTAACAAGTTCCAACCAGGGCTCCCAGCGCTGGGTTTTTCCACCCAGATCTGGGTTTTTGGCCGTCACCTGGGTGTCTGGGTGGATTTTTCTTTTAAATGGCAAAATCTGGGTTTTTTCGTTAAGGAAGTTAATTTTAGCCAATAATATAATTGAAATATTCTCAATGCCTTAAATTTGATTATACAGTCAATGCACAATGAATGGAGCAACGGTCTAACCGTCAGACTATATTTTCCCTAGCTGAGAGATGGTACTGGTATTGTATGCGTTCATTACCAGTATTGAACGCGTTCATTACCAGTCAAAGCAACGGTTCCCAACCTCTCGGCGCACACTGCACACTTCCTAGTTTCCACTTTCCAACCAGTCGGCACTCGGCAGTCGCCACGCGTCAGTGTTCTGCGTGACAGCGTGGCTGATGTCCATTTGTGAGCTGTGTTTAGATTTGTGATGGAAAATTGGCATTTTATGTGAGGTAAGAAAGAAAACTTGCATTCGAGTATTTTATCGTTACTTTTTCTGTCAAGGTGTTGGATAAAATTCATTTTCACCAATGATTTATGATAGTTTTATAGCACGCAAAAAGCATGACTCATCGCTGCACGAGTGTCATGGCTGGCTTTCTCTCCAAGGACCTCAGGCTCACGAGTCACAACTGTTCGAAGAAATTTTATTCATTGGTGCAAACGACATTAGTGACAGAACTTCGTCCGTGCTTTACGGTTCTTACTTCATATAGTTGCTTTCTTGTGTTCGGTGCATAAAATTAGTTGCTAGTACACGTAAAGTGTTACTGTTTCAACTAGGTAGGTAGTGCTAGACTGCTAGTGTAGTGGCATTGCTCATTTCAGACAACGCACGGGGGATCGGTAATCCACCTAACGGTTAGGAACGCAGACTATATCTTTAATTCTTTTTGTTTTTGGTGCATACAGTAGTAACTTTATTATTGTCAACTGGTAACTCATGTGAGATTGACATTAATTTCAGTATGAAGCAACTGACTTTTATTGAGACTAATCGATTTTCTCCAGAATCTACAGTTTACACGAATTTGAAATTCTTATGACGCTGATCGCGGCAGACGTCTGTAAAAGTTATAGTCTTTAGTTAAATTATTGACTTGAATAAATGTAGGAAGCAGCGCGATGCATGAACACTAATTTTTCGAGGATATGACGATTTAAACATTTAAACAAAAACAATGAATATAAAGAATTGCACACACCAGGCGAAGCTTTTATTTACTACAAATATGTAATGCATATCTGCATGCAACTCGAGTAGATCCGTTCAGTTTTGAACGAGATATGATTGATTCAGTTGCCTAAAAATGACGTTTTTTCGTTTTTATTGGAAACGAAATAATGTAAAAATCTGTGATGATTCCTATCGCAGATCATTGATAACTAATACTTATATTCAAAATTTCGTGCAGATCCGTTCATTATTGAAGGAGTTACGAGTGGTTCGGTTGCCGAAAAACGTTTTTTTCGTTCTAATTAAAAACGATGTAATGTAAAAACCTGTAATTATTCCAATCGCGGGGCATTGACAATAACTACTTACATTCCAAATTTGTAGCCGGTCTGTTCAGTATATTGAAGGAGTTATGAGTGGTTCGGTTGTCTAAAAAGGATTTTTTTTGCGTTTTAATTGAAAACGATGTAATTCAAAAATATGTAATTATTCCTATCGCGGAGTATTCGAGCAGATCCGTTCAGTATTGAAGGAGTTATGAGTGGTTCAGATGAGCGAAAAGTTGGGTTTTGCGTCTGAGTCCGCAGGCGGGTCCGGAGAAGTGTCGATTCGGTCCTCCTATCGGTGATGTTTAGCTCGTGAAACTTTTTTCGATTTCTCTTTCATTCGTGAGTAGTAGAGCAATTCGGGCCGAAATTTGCAGTGACTAAGAAATTTCTTCTAAACTACTTAACTAAAACATTGGTCAAATATCATCCCTTGCGCGGTATGAGTTAAAACTCTGATTTCTTCATCCATCGGGCAGATGGAAGATCTTCCGATGTCGCGTTGCGCGAGTTTGACTATTGTAGTTAAGGTTTTACAGCGCTCAGCCTTCTCTCAGAACCATCCGCCTAGCTCTACTCCTGCTTGCTAGTTAGCGTGCAGCCATGCAGCGTGCGGCATGCGGCGTCTCATTTAGTGGTGACGAGCTCCTGCGTCAGCACGAGACGAGATGTGTAGCTAATTCATTGCTTATGAATCCAGTTCATTCATTGTCCATATCACGTTTTTGTTTCATTGTGTCTTGTGTTAGTGTTTATATGATCTTGATAAACCTGGTATGCCCATTGTGATATGTAATAGTAGTTTTTTGAAATTTAATTTGTTTTACTTATTGTCGGCCATCATCGTGTAACCGAATCTCCATCTTCTTTCTATCGAGACGTGCGTAAACTTGATGATGATTCAATGTAACAGTTGATTTTTGCGATCAATCAAACTGATGAAAAGGATCGACGTGCCATATCTCGTAAGTGTTATGCTTGTTTTGTTTTCTACACTATTGCTGTCATTCATACATTATTTACACATAGATGAAATATTTAGATTTTTGCCAGCCTAAATTTGTGATTATTCGCAACGTTCAGTATCGACCATGTACAACGAGTTTCTCGTTATTTCGGTAAATTTCAGTGAGATTAAAAGTTCATGTTGTTTTTCGAGTATTACATCTGCTCTATTGTGTGCAGATTTACGGTCAAACTTTCCGGCAGTAAACCTGGACTGAGCATCAAGAAAGTCTAATTACGAGCTGCAGCCTGGCGAGCAGTATGCGACTTCGCTTGCCAACATTTTCTTGGCGGTCGGCTTTGGGGAGCCGAGATTTTCAGAGAGACCAAAGATCGTCGCACTGATAGCCTGCGTAGATGAGATTACGGTACTACCCCGGGAGTACTTTTTGTCTCAATTCAGTATGGAACTAGATTCCGATCTTCTGAGCACGCTCCAGTAAATAAAATACTTCATAGTCTGATCATTTCATTATTCAAACAGTTGGAATTCTAATTTATAATTTTATTTGTAATTTCTAGATTAACAGAATTCAATGTCAATTTTCTGTATGCAGACGTGAAGTGCCGCTAAAGAGGAAGGTGCCTGGGAAGGAGTATGGGATTCTTCAGAGCTCTTTGTTCTAATAAATTTGCTTTGTTCCATGACTCCGGTCCATTTTCCTCACAATTTTAGAGCAGACGTATAATTTTCTCTTCTACAACAGGAATTTCACGATTATGGTTCATATCAGCCGTCGCCGCCGCAATTCACGGCTTGGCTGTGCTAAGAACGCTCCTGAATTCATTGCTGGACATATATTATATATATAATTTAGCGGTGTCAGCTTTATTTGGCCGTAGGCCTGTCGCCGATTCTTAACATTGCAGAACATTCAAAGCTTGTTGCGGGCTTGAACTCGCCACTCACTGCTTCAATTTTTCTTTGCTTAACCGCCCGGCCTCCTCGCCGCTTCTGACCAGAAACTGGCGCACAGAGCTGGGATCGAACCCGCGCCTCTCTGCGCCAATCCTGGTACTCTGGACTGTAACCACTGGGCCACCCAGAGAATTGGACTTAAAATACTAACTTCGTCAACTAAAAATATCAACTAAATCGAATAAAATTCGAGTTAACACATCGCTGGTTAAATTTAACAGAACTCGGGGGTACAATAATAGTTACACAAGACAAAATTATATCCGTTTACTTAAATGTTAGTGTAAAACATAACACCAAATTAATAAACACGTTGGAAACATGCAAGCTGCTTTGAGGCGCTAAACTTGAACTAAAATAACATAAACAATCTTGTTATTCTTAGGCCGCAGTCTACGTGCGCTGACGCGCCCGTAACACCGTAATCGGCAGAGGCGCCAATTTCCCGTGTTTTCCTCAGTTGTGCAAATATGCATCCAATTAATAGGAGTTACAAGTTGGTCGGGTAAAGAGCAGCACGGCGAAGAATAAGAACTTCCGATGTAAAAACATTGGCGGGACTTGAACATCACAGAAAATAAAGCGCAAAATATGAACTTGAAGACGTAAATCGAACGTAATTTTGCAGAACGCAGACACGTATCATTTAAATTTTAAAGTGTCACTACAGTGAGTCAGACATGAGGGCCTGGGGAGTGTCACTCCAGTGAGTCAGACATTAGGTCCTGGCAAGTGTCACTCCAGTGAGTCAGACATGAGGGCCTAGGAAGTGTCGCTCCAGTGAGTCAGACATGAGGTCCTGAGAAGTGTCACTCCAGTGAGTCAGACATGAGGTCCTAGGAAGTGTCGCTCCAGTGAGTCAGACATGAGGTCCTGAGAAGTGTCACTCCAGTGAGTCAGACATGAGGTCCTAGGAAGTGTCACTCCATTGAGTCAGACATGAGGTCCTAGGAAGTGTCACTCCAGTGAGTCAGAAGAATGTACGAAAAAAATTTTCTTACCTCAAAAAGTCAACAAAAATCTACAAGAAAACCCGTGTTCGGTTAATCATAAACAACCTCCACAAACTAACATTAATGGAATGATAGTCCGAACAAATGATTATTTTTTGAACTAAGGTATACTCCGTTAGTTTGGCCTCACGCGCGAGTTTCTTTCGATGATAGCAATGTTAATGATTATAATAATTAGAAAATTATAAAAAATAGCAGCAGTCACTGCCACGACTGCGGCACCGGCATCTCTTCGTTAAACTTGCTCCTGTATGCCATCCTCTTCGCTTCAAGGAACGCCTGTCAAAATATTAACAAATATCAAACAAAAATTTCGCGAGTAAAAAAATAGATTTTTTAACAAATTAGAGAAATCAATTACGCAAATCTATTTGGGAATTCATTTCATGCATAATAATTATATGAATGAATTAGGACTTCTATAATACATCGACGTACCTCGTGATGCACGTACTACACACACGTACCTCGTGATGCACGTACTACACACTTACACACGTACCTCGTGATGCACGTACTACACACACGTACCTCGTGATGCACGTACTACACACACGTACCTCGTGATGTACGTACTACACACACGTACCTCGTGATGCACGTAAGCCTCACACACGTAGCACCAGACGGACAGGTCGGCGTAGCTGAGCGCCAGCGAGTGCCCCGAGGCAGCGCCGTGAGCGAGCAGGTGGCCGCCTATCGCCCGCCCGCATCCCACCTGCGATACCAGCTGTTATCACGACAAGCCTATATATTAAAGTAATAATAATAATAAATAATAACAAGCCTATAATAATATAAATAATAATTAAGTATATTATTATAACATGGCATAGTGACATCGGCGCTGAAGAGTAGGCCTGATGTGGACTGTCGCCGATTCTTGTACTTTTCGTGACTTGTCCACAGGAGATTTAAAAACAGGTCCTTCTACCGGATCTTTTCCAAACCGTCGATAGTTTGAAATAGCTACTAAACTTTCAACGGGTGCGATATGGCGTTAGGCATTTCAAGTCTGAATATATATTTCTCCATAGCATTGTCTAGTCTGTTCTTGAACGCGTTTATACTCGGATCGCAAACGATGTAACGGGGAGGCTGTTCCACATGTCGGTGATTCGAAGCGAGAAATGTTGCCGCGTGGAGAAGTTGCAACGCAGTTTTTTAGTTTATAGCCGTGGCCCTTGGTGTTGGTTCTTGTTTTAAATTCAATAATCCTTCTAGGACCTTGTATAAACCATGAGTATACTTGTATACTTCCATGATGTCACCACTCAGACGTCGATAACAGAGGCTTGGAAGCTTCATGATATTTAATCTTTCTTCATAGGACTTGCATTTCAAGCCTGGAATTGTCCTTGTTGCAAGTCTTTGAACACTTTCCACTAACTTTTTGTCCTTTTTTAAATTTCGGTGACCACACGGCGTCTCCAAACTGAATATGGTGCGTTTACCCGACTGCTAGATTGATTCCTGCTAGAATATTTTTAGGTAGGTTCGGGCGCACGACAGCATCAAACAACTGGTTCTTCGCTTCTGCATCTAGGAACTCGAAAAAGCGTCTAATCAGTCCATAAGTTTGTTGGATTTATTAGCTTGCGTTTCAATATGCTTACAAAATTTCAGCTCCTTGTCGACGAAAACTCGCAAATCTTTTTCCATACTAGACTTTTTAATCATTACTCTCACCTTGCAACCATGTCTTCTCATACTGTAATCTTGCTGTTCATTGTTCTTCCCGAGGTGAAGTACTTCACACTTGTCAGCATTAAAACGCAGCTGCCACGTATCAGCCCAGTTAACTAAACTGTCAAGATTATCTTGCAATTGCGCTTTATTTGACGCATCCTTCACTGTATTATAAACTTTTGTGTCGTCGGCATACATGGAGCACACGCTTGACCCTGCTCCTGGCAGATCGTTTATAAATGCAACGAACAAAACATGCCCAAGAACGCTTCCTTGCAGCACTCCACTGCGCAATGATGCCCAGTCTGATACGGTTCCGTTAATACTGACACGTTGTCGTCTACCTACAAGAAAATCTCTGATCCATTAGAGTACCTTTCCCGCAATTCCCAAAGACTTCACTTTACGCAACAGCCGCTCATGCGGAACACTGTCAAATGCTTTGGCAAAATCGAGTTACAATGCATCCACTGGCTCCCTTTCGTCCAGCAGGCGAGTCCAATCGTTAATAGTAGACAAGAGGTTAGTGGTGCAGGATCTACCCGCTAAAGCCATGTTAACAGTTACACAGACAAACAAACAACACTTGTCAGGCAGACAGGGCGATAGTTACCGGGGCTACTTTTGTCACCTTTTTTTGAAAAATGGTGTCACTTGAGCCCCTTTCCAATCAGCCGGCAAAGTTCCTTCGTTCAAAGTTTTTTGAAAGAATACTGTCAATGGACCGGTCAGAACGGTTGCTAATACTTTGAGCAATCTGGGATGGAAGCCGTCTGGTCCACATGACTTGTTGGGATTTAGATCTACCAGGCGCTTGAGAACTTCTTCGTATATTTCAAAACCTGTTAACTTCGAGCCGACTGGGCGCTCATCAATATCTGGAATACTGTTCAAGTCCTCATCTGTGAACACACTGCTAAAGAACTGATTATGAACATTAGCTTTGCATTCATCTGAGGATATCTTTCGTTGGTCTACTTTCAAATAAGAAATACCGTCGTTTGTCTTACACTTCAAACTAGCGTCCAAAAAGAATGCTTTCAGGTTATTTTTTTTTAGCATTTTGGACAATGTTTTTTCCAAAGTTTTTCTCTGCGGTAGGACATATTTTTTAGCTTGATTTCGAGCTCTTGCATACAGGTTGTAATCACCATGGCTGCGAGTTTGTAAATAACGCTTGTTGGCTTCCTTCTTGGTCTTTAGCTGAGCTTTAACTGTGACTGTTCATCCACTCCACCAAGCTTAATATTAGGTATACAGGCATCGCCTGCAGACTTAACCGTGTCTTTGAGAAATGACCATGATTCAGCCACATTCATGTCATTAATACAGTTCGAAATATTCACTGCTTCACGGAGTTTATCACAATCGCCTTTCGCAAACTTCAAACGTTCACGCTTCCGAGGCGTGTTTTCTGTAGAGCATTTAATACTGAAAAACTATGATTGATGGTGGCTTTTGCCCATCGCAGCCTCGTGGCAAAGCACATCTTACATTGATCCTTCACTAGTAAACACTAGATCTAGAATATTTGGGATCTGTTTACCCCTAAAATGGGTTGGCTTGGTGATGTTCTGGATTAAAAATGAGCCTCGCACAGACTCCATGAACAAGGATGAAGGGTGATTCCCATCTCTGGGAGAGGATTCATCTGCCCAGTCTATTTCTGGATGGTTAAAGTCACCAACGATCATCGTATGCGACCTATTGAAAGTCAAACTTGGTAAAAGGCTGTTTAGTACTTTATATATAAGAACTCTTTGGTGATCTATAAACCACCCCTATGAAGAAGCTATCCTTTCCTTGTAGGGAAAGTTTGCACCACACCGATTCTCCAACTGATTGAGATAACTTAACTTGCTGGGCCCCACAAACAAATTTTAATCCACAGTGCTTCACCTCTACTGCACTGCTCTTCTTTTAAGTTATGAAAACAATCAAAACCTGGCAAGTGAAATTTAACAGACCTGTACAATTTTCCCTCCGTGAGTTTTAGGGAGTGTCACTACATTCGTTTGCGACCACAGATAACAGTTCACTTTTTATCATTATTTAAAACGGAATCGGAGTTCATTCTTATACTTCTTACAATATTTACAGGCCTGGATCTACGACCATGACTCCTACTGTTTACTTGTCTTTCAGCTCCTCTGACTGACCGTGTGCGGTCGGTGTTGTCTTGACATCGTGAGCGTGGTTGACCTGATTTTCCGTGCTTTCTCGCATGATTCTCTTCTGCCATTTCTTGCGAAAGTCCACTCTCTCCACAGGGATAGATTACTTTTTTACAAAGACGAACTTATACTCAGCGGATTCTCCAAGCTTTCTCGCTGCCTTCAGCATACTACAAACCAGAGCAGGATCCTTTAGAGTCACCAAAAGAGGTCTGCAGGTTTTGGCAGCAGCGTCCTTCGAGCGTCGCCTCATGCGCAATGCAATGTCAACCGTTGTGATGAATGCCTTGCTACAACAGTTTCGGGAACACCAAACCACACATTATTGGACCTCCGACGATTTCTGTCAAGTAATTCGTGGGAGCTTTCGCTAGCGACTTCGGACAAATCAAGTCTCTGGTTCTTTACTTCCATTGTCTCCGTTTTTTTTCAGCTGAGCTTTCACTTCAGTCAGCTCATTGCATAGTGAGCTTAATTTTTCACTCAACGAGCGCACCATCTCACTCAAGGAGTTTACTACATCATTCAACGATTTCGACTAATTGCGGTACTCATCCACCGGCTTTAGGCTTCTTCGTGCACCAAGAGTTGATTTTTCGCAGTCACGACAAAACCAATGAAGTAATTTAGTTTTCTGGAGAAACGAGTACTCCTCAGAGCTCAACTTCGGACAGCTGATACAGAGGAAATCTTCGCAACGTTTACAGGTGACTGTCTATCAACCTCGCCTTAGCAGTAGCAAGTCGCTTCACTGCAGCTCATTTGTATTTGAATATGTTGAAGCATCAGATTAGTTTCCTTGGTATTTAAATGACCCCACTAGAAGTGTGCTACTGCCAAAGCTAAATAATTCTAACATACGCAGTGCCACCGCAGCACGCACCTGATAACAGGTAAGGCAGCACCAGTTCTCGCCCTCAGCACAACAGCAGCAGCATGCACCTGATAACAGGTAAGGCAGCACCAGTTCTCGCCCTCAGCACCACAGCAGCAGCACGCACCTGATAACAGGTAAGGCAGCACCAGTTCTCGCCCTCAGCACAACAGCAGCAGCACGCACCTGATAACATGTGAGGCAGCACCAGTTCTCGCCCTCAGCACCACAGTCAGCACAAGGCGCTGAAGCGTCCATGCTGCCCTCAGGTTCCCTCACGCCCTCTGGGATGTGAGGGCACCAAGACAGCGGGGTCACCATGAAGCCTTCAGTCTGCTCGTGTGGCATCATCATTACTCATCATTACTTACCATTACGCATAATTAACTCATTAATCAACTATCATTATTGCACTAATGCGACATTCTTCACAAGCTCGTCATTAACTAAATGAAGAAAGAAGGTAGGGAGAGGAGGAGGAGGGAAGTTAGGGAGAGGAGATGAGGAGGAGGGAAGAAGGTAGGAAGAAAAGATGAGAGAAGAAGGTATGGAGCGAAGAGGAGTAGATAAGAAGGCAGGGAGAAGAGATGAGGGTAGATAATTTACAGCTGCAGCACCTGGCTTCTGATCAGCTGCTCGATGGTCATTGCTCCGTCCTCGTCATCTGCAGCAGCCGCAAGAGCTGCAAGCAGAGCCTCTTCAGTGACTACAGCTGCAACTGTCTGTCCTGAGCAGCTGATAGTTCCTGCACCTGATGGGCCAGCTACATCTGAACCTGATGGACCAGCTGCATCTGAACAAGATGGGCCAGCTGCATCTGAACCTGATGGACCAGCTGCACTAGCAACTGCAGCCAAGCGTTCTGTGGCAGATTCAAGATCTCATAAGAAACAAACTCTAAAGAATAAATGAGGCAACTTTGAACGTTTTGCTCAACTTAGTTGAAAATAAGATTAGCGTTAATTCTGATATACATATTTGGTGAAACACGTTCCATCAAGATCATTCAATTGTGTATCACAATGTATATTCAATCAGGATCAATCAATTGTATAATAGACCATTTGTTTCAAGTATCAACTAACATGCTCATTTGATTACAATGGACAGCAAAACACGGAATCTCATGGAACACAACAGACTATTACAGAATTTTGTTCTTTAAAGAACCCATATCCGCGGAGAACCGTTCTCTTGAAAAAAATGTTCTTCAAGTACTGTACGCTCAAAAAAATGTTCTTAAAAACAATATGCTTAAATAAACGTGTTCGTAAAAGAACAGCATGCTCACCAAATAATGTTCTCAAAGAGCTAAGTTCTCAATGAACAATGTATTGAAATAAAAATATGTTCGAAGAACCATATCTTCTACTATGTACTATGCCTCAATAAACCACGCCCCCAATAAGAACTATGTCCTCTAGGTGCCATGCCTCAATAAACCACGCCCCTATAAGAACAATGTCCTCTAGGTGCTATGCCTCAGTAAACCACGCCCCTAGAAGAAATATGTCCTGTAGGCACTATGCCTCAATAAACAACGCCCCTAGAAGAACTATGTCCTCTATGCACTATGCCTCAATAAACCACTCCCTAGAAGAACTGTGTCCTCTATAGATACTATGCCTCAATAAACCACGCCCCTAGAAGAACTATGTCCTCTAGGTGCCATGCCTCAATAAACCACGGCCCTAGAAGAACTTTGTCCTCTAGGTGCTATGCCTCAATAAACCACGGCCCTAGAAGAACTATGTCCTCTAGGTGCCATGCCTCAATGAACCACGCCCCTAGAAGAACCATGTCCTCCAGGTACCATGCCTCAAAGTACCTGCTGGAGGCGTCGCCGCAGCAGCCTCGGGTGTGTCGACTTTATCATCACTCATTTTCATGTGGCCAAATTTGAGAGCAAGTTCATCTGAGGGAGAATCTGCGCAGAGAAACGCCAGTGAGGTGCAGTGGGCGGGAGCCTTCGTTGCTCTAAAATGACTTCTACATTGGGCCAAAGTTAGAACAAATTTAGTTCAGTGTGATATTTTGAGGAGTTTTAGACCAAATTCATGCATCACTGGATAGGTAGCACAACTAACTAGTAGGTATAACTATCACTACACGGTCACACATAAAACCATAAGATCTCCCCAAGTAACGTACCAGAGTTCTTTTAGGGACAAACACCCAAGGCCATGTTGCCAGAGCCACCTACGGCAACCAGCGTCGCCCCATAGCGACAACGATAAATTAACTGAACTTGCCAAGGTTCAAACCCTCGTCTAGCTCCTCTCATATCGATGTTGCTACCACTTCGCTAGACAGCAGAGCTAACCTCTGCGCTACAGTGACTTATACTACATCACAAAAAATATATCTATGATAACTTATGAATTACTCAAGCATCTTAATTTATTTAAGATGCTCAATGAGCCTGGTTCTGCCAGCCTAAAGTATCATAAATGGGTTTCAAGCTACGGCCATTATAGGGCCAGGGTACAGGCAACGATTGCCTTACGAAAACAATACAGTTTGAAGGAAGAACAAAAAAAAATAAAACCAAGAGAATGAAGCAGTTGACAAAATAAAGGCGAGGAGGAAATATGAATATGGCAGTAAAGCCTATTCAAAAGTATCACAAGGAGTTTCTACATACTACATTTATTTGCCCCACAACATAAACATTGCATTGAGTAGTAGGTAATATTCAGCCGCCCAGTAAATCTTACATCCACACCATATATCGAAAAACAAGCAATCAATCGCGCCGTAATTCACTATACCTACGCAAATAGTGATCTACAGTGGGTGCAAAACATTATCCGACACACAGGGAAAAACTTTATGTATTAAAGCTTATTCAACAAAGTAACATAAACAAACACTATTCTAAAGTAAATTTACATGGGAAATACAAATATAAAATCAAAACAACAATATCATTAAATGTTGACTTGATAATTGCAATTTCGCAAAAGTCAAGGTTCAAAACCTATCCAACACATAGTAAAAAAATTTACTCAATACTTCGTCATGCGTCTTTTAGCAGCCAAAACTGCTTCTAACCGATTGGAATACTGTTCGCAAGATTAACACATATTCTAATAAGAATTTTAGCCCACTCTTCCTAGCATTTTTCTTACAATTGGATAAGATTTCTTGGATCTCTCTCCTGCAGCCTCAATTTCAATTTCCGTCACAGATTTTCAATCGGATTGAGGTCAGGTGATTGACTTGGCCATTCCATTAACTCGATATTCCTCTTTAAAAACAATGCAAGAGTTGCCCTAGCCGTGTGCTCAGGGTCCCTGTCTTGTTGGAATATCCAACCTCGAGGAAGGTTCAATTTTTTTGTCTGACTTCACGAGACATCTCTCAAGAATGCTCCGATCCATTTCGGAGTTCGTCCTTGATTCTATGATTTCCAATTCCCCAGGGCCAGTAGAAAAGAAACAACGCCAGGGCCTGTAGAAGAGAAACAACCCCAAAGCATTATGCTGCCACCTCCAAACTTCACTGTAGGGACGGTATTCTTTGGGTGAAACGCAGAGTTCTTCTGTCTCCAAACACAACTGACACAGTTTCGATCGAACTCAATTTTAGTCTCATTTGACCATAAAATTGTATCCCAAAAGTTTGAAGATTTACTCACGTGTTCTTTAGCAAAGTTCCGGCAGTTCTTTACGTGAATTTCCTCCAAGAGAGGGGAGTTCACTCCTGAAGTTCACTTGACAAGCGATCCTCAAGTTCACGTGAAAAAATGGTAGCTACGAAACGTGACGTAAAAAGGCGTCATACACGCGCGCATGTGCCAGACGCCTGTTGCAGAACGGCATCAGGCCATGGCCCTTTTGAGCCCTCAGCAAAGCGACGTCAGGTCATGCCCCTCTTGACGCCCTCTGCAGAACGGCATCAGGTCATGCCCCTCTTGATACCCCTCTTGTCACTTATCCACAGTAAAATATTTTAGCGCCCACGGTTAGTAGAGTCACGTAAATTATTGCGGCAACATTCCGCGGAGACGGGCTACGGTTGAATAGATGCAGCCCGCCAGTTTATCATAGAGTCGCCAACTAATGTTTATACATCAACGCTTCACTGCATCGCCTAGGGGTCCGAATCACTGCTCTTACAAAACAATAAAGGAAAGAGAAAACCAAATTCGTTTGTTAACTGCCTTGGCGGCATAGCCTTTTTATGAAACGCCTTGGACAGTAAGAGCAGTGAACTCCAACGTGACGGCCCTAACAACATGCAGTGACGCAAACGAAACGTCATCAGCCTCGCTTCTAAGTCTAATCACAGGAGAGATAATTTCGGAACTGCGACATCCTCCGGACGCGTTGTGAAACCAAGACTCGAGCTGAAGAACATCGATGAGACGGAACGGTAGCTGGAGTCCTGCTACGAAAGTCTTCGTCAAGTATCAGACGAAGGCTTAAGCGCCACCAAACAAAGAAAGTGATTTTTGCGAGAATCTTGGCTCACTTATGAAGATGCTTATAAAGCCTTATCTATTGCTTTGAATGCAGCTGGAGCGGTGGCTGCATGTGAGAGCTCGACTCGGCGCTACTTGGAAAATCGGAAGATTGTAAAAGAAGAGGTCAGTAAATTGCGAAAATTGCAAAAAGAAGTTGGAGATGACGACGTCTCCTGCAGGGCCCAGCTGTGAAACTTATTGAGAGTCGTTCTTTTGCGTTTCAGCAACAACGACGTTGGGTTCGAGGCAGACGTCGGATCTATGTTCAATAGTTGCAGAGTAGCGCCAGAACACAGAAATTTTTATGAAATTTCTTGGTTCGACAATAATGATCCTGAGAGGGCGTAAGTCTAACATCGTGCTCGAACCCACGATTTTGGCAACACCTCAAGCCCAGCTACTGCAACGTTGGGGATTCGATCGAAGGGCGGCTGCCGAGTTGGAAGAAGTGGCGCTTATCAAAGGAGACCCTGAGCTGACTGAGAAAGTTCGAGAATATATCAATAAGGGCTTCTACGTTGTTGATGGTTTTGGTTTGACATCTAGCCCCGAAGAGGCGGGTGAGAGTGCTCACTGTCGCGCGAGCCGTGCCAAGAATTTTCAACATAAGGCTGCACAAGATTTTATCAAATGAGCAAAAGACATCGGTTCGCGATCGGCATCGGATCCGTTTTCGGCATCGGATCGCGATCCGAAGACTAATGTTTGAGTTGGGTAACTTCACCTTGCCTCGAACCCTTGTAGTGGCTTGGGAGACAGATATCCAGAGATGCTTTTTTTTGTTTAAAATTGAACACGAAGCCGCCCTTTCACCAAGCAAAGCGTGTTGGCAACTATAAATTCCATGTATGGTCCTCTTGGCGTGGAGTGCCCGGTGGTGTTGACCGAGCGTCTGATTCAACGTAAACTGCTACCTCGAATATCTCGGATGACATCACTCACTGCCGCGAGTTGAACTGAGATGACGAGCTACCTAGTGGCCTCAGGGCTGAGTGGGAGTCCTGGAAATTGTATTTGAAAGAGCTCGAGTCCATCGAGATCCCACGATGCTTCATCTCGACGAGCTTGGGTAAGAGCGTCAAGTAAAGTGTACATTCTTTTTGCGATGCTTCAGACGTGGAAATCGGATACGTAATTTACACGAAATCCACGGATACTGAGGGTAGGATAGAAGTTGTGGTCTTTGTGGAAATAGTAGGGTGGCTCCAAGGGGGGCGCACATTCTGTCCGGCGTTTAGTTGAGGGGCCCCGACTTCTTAAGGCGGGAAACTGTGGAGCCTGGTCCTTTTCATACTGGGTCCGATCTCCCGGATATTTGAATATGACGGAGGTCGTTGTGCTGAAATCGAAAGTTGAGCCTCAACCTGGAACCTTGGATGGAGTCTACCGACGAAACGATAGGTGGCATACTGCCCTTAGAATCGCCGGACAGGTCTTGAGACTGGTCTGCGTCTTCAAGGATCGCGTGCGGATGCGACGAGGGAGGAATTAGATTTCTCGAGCAATGCAAGAGACGTCCTCATGTACGTGTGATGCCCAGCGCGAGGCGTTCAAGGAAGCCCTGAGCTCCCTGGAGAGCAGAGGGCGGCTTCCTTAGAGCCGTCCCCTGGCGGCTCTTTACCATGTCGTTGGATTGGGCGGTGTTATTGAAATATGCAGCCGGCTGAGTAATGCAGAGATGCCTTTTTCGCTAAAGTACCGCCAAATTATCCCAGAGAAGCATATCATCAGTGCTTGTCTGATAACCAATTACCACACTTTGAGGGGACATCAGGGCCAATATATCACGCAAGGATCCTTGCAAAGCGCTGGATTTTATCTCGAGAACGGACGCAAGCAACTGAGGAACTTCATCAAGAATTGTGCAGTTTGCCGCCGTCTTAGAGCAAGAGGCTGAACCCAACTAATGCCTGGTTTACCCGTTGACAGAATAACTGCGACAGCACCTTTCATAGCGACTGGCATGGACGTCATGGGCCCGTTCAGTGTAGTTCACACGGCCTGTCTAGCCGACGCAGTTCAGGCACCAGGAAGTGCTGGATTCTGGTCTTCGTGTGCATATCATCGCGTGTTGTTCACGTCGAAATTCTCCCCCACATGGACACATCCTCCGTGAAAAACGCATTGCAAAGGTTCTAGTAGCGCTGTGCGGTGGGTGCAGATTACTAGGATGCGATACGGGTACAATATTGTTGGAGCCAGCAACCAAGCAGAAATTGTCTCCCAGGCATCTCCCCAGGGACCTCATGGATCGTGGGTTTAAACTTGAGTTTAACCCACCGCATGCCTCTCATTTTGGAGGGAGCTGGGAGCGTAAGATGAGGCAGATTCGTCGTGCGAGTTTTGATAGGTTATGAACCACTGAATGGTTCCTGTCATTCGTACATATAAGGTAGGAAGTATGGAAGTAAAGTTACGTACAAATTAGGTAGGAAGCATGGAAGCAAAGTTACGCACAGATTACGTACGAAGTATGGAAGTAATTACGTACAGATTACGTACGAAATATGGAGTAGTTACGTACAGAATACGTACGAAGTATGGGAGTAAAGTTTAGTCACCAGCTCGTGTAAGGTAAGTAAACTCAATTAAAGCTTGTGCTGCAATGACCATGTCTGTCCAAGTGGCAGCAGCTAAACTGAACTGAAGAGATTACATAACCGAAATCATTAACGGTAGCGAGAATAGCAGAATAAATACGGGATTAGTTCAATAATTGACTTCATTTTAATGAATAAGGGACTGACTGCGAGAAAAAGATAGCCTCACAGACGAGGAGAGTAGAGACCTTGCAGACGAGGGCTGAGGGCCATTGCCCTTTACCCTCTACCGCCGTATGTCACTCTCCGGGAATATAACTTTCAACTTAAATTATACGTAAACTATTGAGTGTAGCAACCTGAGGACGTTTGTACGCAACAGAGAACATTTTAAAGTTGTCATACGTGGCGGCAACCATCAGTGCAAGTCATTTTGCACTCACTAGAACGTATCCTTTTTTGGGAAGTAGGCGCGTGACAATTTTGCTCCGGTTACTCATGTCAGGCGGTAGAGGGTTAAATGATGGCTACTTAGAGTACCACCACTCAAAGAAATAAGCGACACTTTGTCCAAACAGCGATCAACTTTTTGCGCTATAGTATGTCATCCTGACCCAGTTTGATCCGGCAAAAGGGCGTATCAGTGCTGCATCCGCTCTCTGCCCGTGCTGTGTGCAAGCAAGTTACTTTATTTGGACAATTTAACCCATTGATTGCTTCAAATGTGTTGCAACCTCACGGGGAGATTTGGACAAACTTACCTGCAGCACTAGTAGCCTCACCAGCACCAGGTATGGCCCCACCAGCAGCCCCACCAGCCCCACCAGCACCACTTTTGCGCCCCTTTTTAAGCCCAGGGGCCGAGGGAAGGTCTACCTGTTGTAAGAAAAGTCACCTCAATTAGATCAGCATTATAGGGTTAATTCTATTACATAAAATCGATTAGATGAGCCTAATTGAATGAGCCTAATTACCGCTCCTAAATTAGAGAATCAACATGCCTCGCAGTCCCAATTACAGGAGATCCCAGGTTAGTCACGACTTCTTCAAAAGACGACAACGATTAATCAAAATAATCTTACAATATAATATAGGAATATAATCAATATAAGTTTACAATATCATATATGAATGTAATCAACATAATCTTACAATATAATATAGGAATATAATCAACATAATCTTACAATACAATATAGGAATATAATCAACATAATCTTACAATACAATATAGGAATAAATTAGATAACTGGCGGGCGAGACTGTACCCTGTAGGGGGCGAGACTGTACCCTGTAGGGGGCGAGACTGTACCCTGTAGGGGGCGAGACTGTACCCTGTAGGGGGTGATACTGTACCCTGTAGGGGGGGAGACTGTACCCTGTAGGGGTTGACACTGTACCCTGCAGGGGGCGAGACTGTACCCTGTAGGGGGCGAGACTGTACTCTGTAGGGGGGACACTGTACCCTGTAGGGGGCGAGACTGTACCCTGTAGGGGGCGAGACTCTGTCTCTTATACACATCTAGATGTGTATAAGAGACAGGGGACTGTACCCTGTAGGGGGCGAGACTGTACCCTGTAGGGAGCGAGACTGTACCCTGTAGGGGGTGAGACTGTACCCTGTAGGGGGTTAGACTGTACCCTGTAGGGGGCGAGACTGTACCCTGTAGGGGGTGAGACTGTACCCTGTAGGAGGTTAGACTGTACCCTGTAGGGGGCGAGACTGTACCCTGTAGGGGGCGAGACTGTACCCTGTAGGGGGCGAGACTGTACCCTGTAGGGGGCGAGACTGTACCCTGTAGGGGGTTAGACTGTACCCTGTAGGGGGTTAGACTGTACCCTGTAGGGGGCGACACTGTACCCTGCAGGGGAGGCGAGGCTGTACCCTGTATGGGAGGCGAGACTGTACCCTGTAGGGGGCGAGACTGTACCCTGTAGAGGGCGAGACTGTACCCTGTAGAGGACGAGACTGTACCCTGTAGGGGGCGAGACTGTATCCTGTAGGGGACGAGACTGTACCCTGTAGGGGGCGAGACTGTATCCTGTAGGGGACGAGACTGTACCCTGTAGGGGGCGAGACACGTCCAGTAGGGGGCGAGGGCGTCGAGGACGGCGCTGATGGTGTGGGCGGCGTGGGCGGCAGCGACCAGGGGGCGGCGGAGGGGCGGCAGCGCGTCGCCCAGCAGCGCCGACACGCAGCAGCACAGCGCGTGACTGTACAGGTGCCCGTGCATTCATTCATTCAATAACTTGTAATTACATACATCGTGAATTCTGAATTATATGAATTCTGAATTGTTTGCATTCACTCTTTCACCCATTCAGTCATCCATTCATTCATTCACTCATTCATTCATTCGTTCGTTCATTCATCCATTCACTCATTCATTCATTCATTCATTCACTCATTCATTCACTAATTTATTCATTCATTCATTCATTCACACATTATTCATTCACTCACTCATTCATTTATTCACTCATTTATTAATTCAGTCATCATACATTCATTCACTCATTATTCATTCATTCACTAATTCATTCATTCATTCATATATTCACTCATTTATTCAATCATTCACTCACTCATTCATTCATTCACTAACTGTAATATAATCATCGTGGAATTCTAAATTATATGAATTCAGAATTTTTCATTCATTCATTCACTAACTTTTAATATATTCATCATGAATTCTAAATTATATGAATTCTGAATTGTTTTCATTCAGAAATACGGGATTAGCTCAAATTCATTCACTAACTTGTAATTATATTCATCGTGAATTCAGAATAATATGATTTTTGAATTAATTCTTGTAGTTATAATTCATCAGATTCTGAACTATTATGAAATTTAACTACTTAAACTACTACTAATTAACTACGGCAACTACTTAACCATTTAGCGGGAAACTACTATCTTCTTATCATTCTGACAATCAGCGTTTAAAATATCAGCATTTAAATTAAAAATTTGACTCGGACGATAACAAGATTGCCAGGAGCAGACAAGATTGCCAGGAGCAGACAAGATTGCCAGGAGCCAACAAGATTGCCAGCAGCAGACAAGATTGCCAGGAGCAGACAAGATTGCCAGCAGCAGACAAGATTGCCAGCAGCAGACAAGATTGCCAGCAGCAGACAAGATTGCCAGCACTACAAGATTGCCAGCACCAGACAAGATTGCCAGCAGCAGACAAGATTGCCAGCAGCAAACAAGATTGCCAGCACCACAAGATTGCCAGCACCAGACAAGATTGCCAGCAGCAAACAAGATTGCCAGCAGCACACAAGATTGCCAGGACCACAAGATTGCCAGCACCACAAGATTGCCAGGACCTGGTAGAGACGAGATTGTAGCCGCCCTCGAGTGCCAGCACAAGTCTGCCAGCAGCGAGCCCTGCCAGCAGCGCTGTCATGTGACCGTAGCACTCCGGCGTCACCTCGCAGCCTGACACCAGATAATGCGCATGATTGTTATACGTAGGGTATTAATGACTTTTTAAAAAATCATATAATCACGATTATTATATTATTATATTATATTATATAATAGTATATTATTATATTATCACCACCACCACCCGCACCATCACCACCGCATACACAACACTACGCACCAGCACCACACACCACTATGCACGCACGCACCACCACGCACCACCACGCACCACTACGCACCACCAACAGGGTCGTTGACAGCAGCATCAAAGCCAGCTGAGACGAGCACCACCACGCACCACTACGCACCACCAACAGGGTCGTTGACAGCGGCATCAAAGCCAGCTGAGACGAGCACCACCACGCACCACTACGCACCACCAACAGGGTCGTTGACAGCGGCATCAAAGCCAGCTGAGACGAGCACCAGCTGTGGGCTGAACTGATACGCCAGCGGCAGCACCAGCTGCGAGAACGCTGCTATGTACTCCGCGTCCCCTACGCCCCCCTGCAGTAAATTACTATTTTGAAAATAAATAAAATTATTTAGAAAATAAGTCCTTATTTCTCACTAGTCAGAAATTATTTAGAAAGTAAATTAAATTAAATTATTTATAGAAAAAATTCTTACCGGTAATTCATTCTTCAAAAATGTCCACCGGGAAATGAGTTCGACTCATTTTAAATACAGACAAGAATGTAACGAGATTTTACATGGCGAGAAATTCTTTTTTTTTTACTGAATATTCATGTTTCAGGAATTTTGACAACTCATTTTTCGGTAATTTTGTAACGACAATTCATTCTTCGGGAATGTTTAGGATTTCATTTATTTGGATAGCAATGCATGCGTTAGGTGGTGTAGGGGTAACGTTAGGTGGTGTAGGGGTAACGTTAGGTGTGTAGGGGTAACGTTAGGTGGTGTAGGGGTAACGTTAGGTGTGTAGGGGTAACGTTAGGTGGTGTAACATTACTTTTAAAAGCAGTTCCGAGTGGCGGTACAGGCATTATCAACGATGACTTTAAACTAAAGCTTTATGCCGCTATAACTTCAGTGTTAGTGACCCGATCTATGGTATTTCTCAAAATCTTCAAGCATTTCTTGAAATCTTTAAGCGTTTTTTAAATCTTAAAGTATTTCTTAAAATCTTCAAGCATTTCTTAAAATCTTCAAGCATTTCTTATAAGCTTTAGGTATTTCTTAAAATCTTCCTATAAACCTGGTTCACAGTTTCTTATTTTGTGTGGATGCCGCGTCATTTATGTTTAATTTGCTTGGCCACAACAAGAATTATTTTGCTCCAGTAAGAAGTTAATTAGATTTAGATTACTACCTTAAATTTAAGTATTTGACCCAAATCCTATTTAATCTATATCAAAGCAACTCAAAGTAACAAAGTAATAAAATATTTTTTAACAAATAATATTAAATTCATTCAGGCATATTAAATTATTATTATTATTATTATTATTATTATTGTGTCATCTTCTGTTCAACCACACATAATCAGTGACATCACTGGCCGCACTAGCACCAATCAACCACACCACGCACGGAACAAAATTATTTATTAAATAATTATTATATTTATTAATAAATAATTATTAAATTTTAAATTAATCATTATATTATATTAATTATTTGCTTTCATTATAGAACTAAATTGAAATTCTGCCCCGCTGCTGCCAGCCGTCAAATTACCTGCGTTATTATAGAAGTTTTTCAATAAAAAAAAACTTTGGGAGCCTCTTATTTTTTGGGTGAAGCGTTGCCTGTTCAGGCAAATATTTTACAAATTTTTATTATCAGAGATGTTGACGTTGTAGCCTCACCTTCTGCCAGATGTTGACGTTGTAGCCTCACCTTCTGCCAGATGTTGACGTTGTAGCCTCACTTCTGCCAGATGTTGACGTTGTAGCCTCACCTTCTGCCAGGGGATGTTGACGTTGTAGCCTCACCTTCTGCCAGATGTTGACGTTGTAGCCTCACCTTCTGCCAGGGGATGTTGACGTTGTAGCCTCACCTTCTGCCAGATGTTGACGTTGTAGCCTCACCTTCTGCCAGGGGATGTTGACGTTGTAGCTTCACCTTCTGCCAGATGTTGGCGTTGTAGCCTCACCTTCTGCCAGGGGATGTTGACGTTGTAGCCTCACCTTCTGCCAGGGGATGTTGACGTTGTAGCCTAAGCCGTCCCCAGTACCGATGTGTAGGTGGGAAGCGTCCGTGGAGTTGGGGAAGAACGTCGCGTTCTTGTAGAGGTGTAGGGATACGTACAACACCCGAGGGTCGGACTCGAACGCGTGCTGGATGCCGTTACCGTGGTGGATGTCCCAGTCCACGATCAGGATCCTGCGTCATACATCAATAAACTCATTAAAAGTACGATAATGTCACACTAAAATACTATAGTGTCCCAGTCCACGTTCAGAACTCTGCGTCATTCATCAATAACTCATTAAAAGTACGATAATGTAACACTATAATGTCCCAATACACGATCGGCACCCTGCATCATTGCAGTATTTAATCAATAAACTCATTAAAAGTACGATAATGTAACACTAAAATACTATAATGTCCCAGTCCACGATCAACACGCTGCATCATCGCGAGGATTTAATCATTAAACTCATTATTTAATGCCGATCAATATCAAATTTTATTAATAAACCTAATCAATTAACCCCCAAACGTTTCACCACATCACCACATGCCTGTCACCATTAATTTATAAACCCATTAATAGTACGATAATCAAACACTACAATACTATAATAATGATACGATGATAATTAAACACTACAATGATACCGTATGAAGCTTTGAAACAAGATAAGAAACATTCAATAGGGAACGAATTTTGGCTTGTTTTCAACTTGTTTTAAACTTGATATGAACTTGTTTTAAACTTGGTTTAAACTTGTTTTAAACTTGAATCATTTTTCTACATAAGAAAACATAATTTAAATCATTGAAGATAATACGAACGCCAAAAAATTCAGCAGGTTGTGAACCCCACCTGTCAAGCCCCAGCTGACCCCACCTGACCCCACCTGTCAAGCCCCAGCTGGCTCCACCTGTCAAGCCCCAGCTGACCCCACCTGTCAAGCCCCAGCTGACCCCACCTGTCAAGCCCCAGCTGACCCCACCTGTCAAGCCCCAGGTGGTCAAGGGCGTGACGGGCGGCGACGGCGACGTTGTTGAAGATGCAGAAGCCGTTGGGGTGACAGCGCTCAGCGTGGTGACCTGGGGGCCTCACCACCGCCACGCCCTTGCTGGCACCACCTGTCACCACCTGCTGCACCACCTGCACACACATGCCTGTCACCACCTGCTGCACCACCTGCACACACATGCCTCTCACCACCTGCTGCACCACCTGCACACACATGCCTATCACCACCTGCACACACATGCTTGTCACCACCTGCTGCACCACCTGCACACACATGCCTGTCACCACCTGCTGCTTTGGGTCTTATCCTATCCTTTGGGTCTTATCCTATCCTACTTTGAGTCTTATCCTATCCTTTGGGTCTTATCCTATCCTACTTTTGGTCTTATCCTATCTATCTAGACACGTCCTATCCCGACGCGGTCTAGACACTGAACCAGCAGCTTACTGCGAGTCTGTGTGTACAAATGAGTGTCAGCAAGAGACTAACAGCCGTTCTCCTTGATGGGAAATAAAAGATAAACATAGGCTGTGGTTAAATAGGCATATAGGGAAATAAAATATAAATTTAAAAATCCCTTATATACTTTCTTATGTCTTTTTTGGAATCCATTCAGATGAGATTAGGTGTACTTTGATAGGTTATATATGATGCATACGTCGCGAGTCCAACCTTAATACAGATAGACTTGATGCTCATGTGAAATTTTATAGTTCATGTGCAATTTTCTAGTTCATGTGCAATTTTCTAGTTCATGTGCAATTTTTTATGCTCGTGCGCTTCTTTGTTTTTGAGGCGGCTTCTGCCTGTAAGCTTTTAGTATGGCCACTCTGGTAGAAACAAGCATAAATATCTCAGCTTCCGCACGCGTCGGCCTGTGTCAGCGCGAACGCTTTTAGTCTGGCCGTAGCCTTACTGATAGAGTACAAGCTGGCGCAATTGGAAACGCGAAATCGAGAAAAGCTATATTGAAAAGCGCAATTCACAGGGCTCAGCGCTTGGACCGATCCTCTTACTCATCCACATTGCCGATACTGACTCAGAACTTACCCACGTATCTACACCGTCATTTGCGGACAATACAAGAGTGCTGATGAAGATCACAGAGGACCTAGACTGCGAGAGGTTGCAGGATGATCTATCGTCAATCTACGATTGGGCCCTAGTGAACAATATGCAGTTCAACGGCACCAAGTTGGAAGTAATGAGATACAGAGCCCGCAGAGAGACCGGGATGCCACATCGCTACTTAGCATCCGATGGCACAGAAATCGAAGAGAAGCAACTAGTCTGAGATCTCGGAGTGTTGAGTGCCGAAGCCATGATCGATGCCCACAGCGAGGAAATAGTCGTGCAAAGCAAACAACGGATGGGGTGGATATGGCGGACATTTCGAACGAGAGAAACAGCACCATTGATTACACTCTTTAGAGCCCTCGTGCCCCCAATCTTAAGTCGCAGGGCGCCGCTCAAAGCGAGCGCAGTGCGAAAACTGGAGTCAGTTCAGGGGACCTTCACGTACAGGATCAGCGGTATGAGGGAACTGAAGCTGAATTACTGGGACAGACTGAAACACCTGTGACTGTACTCACTGGAGAGAAGAGAGAGGTACCTACATCACATTGTACTCTTGGAAGATGATAACCAAACTGGCTCCCAACTGTGCAGGATTTCCCATTTAATAACCGAGCCGCGGCCAGAGTACAGACTCTCCGTGAGGGATCACTGTCCGTTGTATAGGACCTAGGCTCTTTAATGACCTGCCAAAAGAGCTGAGAGGAGTTCACACTTGCAACTTTCAAGAGACGACTGGACAATTGGTTGAGAAATATCTCAGATTGTCCAGTTATGAGAAACTACCCTCAGCAAGTGACAAGCAATGGCATCTTGCATCAGCTGGCCCAAAGGAGGGAAAATATACGGAACACGTCCAACGGTGCATCCGGGACCCGAGGGCGGGGTGAACTGCCTAGCAACGACTCGGAGACGGAGAACGACGAAGGCGGCGCATCAGCGTGACCGGGGACTACCCAAATAAAAATTAAAGTTGGCGCATCGATGATTATAGGTGGCGATATTAGATCATAGGTGGGGTAACGGTGGGTGGCCACGCCAGCCTAAAATCACAATTGAAACACTGATAAATCGAGAGGAAGTGCGAGCATAGGTGGCACTCATCGATGAATCATCGATGATCTATAAGTTGTGATTACAGCGGCGGTAATTCTGACTTAAATTATATCAAACTGTATAGAACGCAGTCTGTGGGTGAATTAATTCGTAAATTGGGTTATGAAAGTTATGAAAGTTAGAAACTTAGAGTAAAGTGTTGAGAAGGCTACAGGAATTGGGGTTGAACTGTGTAATGCTTGTATTAGGTGCTATTGTTCTCGAGACCGTGAGAGCGAGGGTTGTTTATAGTTGGAATGACGAGGGCATCAAACGGCCGACACTTGCTGATTTCAAAACTATCGCGGCGTCACTTCGAGGGAGTAGGCGTAACGGTGCGCGACGGCTGTGTATAAAAGGACCTTAAAATTGGCGCCAAAAGCTGTTCTACGGAGGTGACCGTCACGCAAGCACGGTCTGAAGTCAGCGGACCGTGACCGTGAGGCCGGCGGTGTTGCCGTTTTCGAACATTGACGGTCGCGAGATACCTAGACCCATCGAGGCAGCTAAGATTTCTGTAAGCGCGTCTAAAATCTACAAAGTACGGTCGACATCACCGTTAACGGCTGCTACTCGGCCGTGAGGCAATGCGAGAGGGCCACGAGTTGTACAACGATTATAACGCCCGTCATCAGAAGATTCAAGTTTTCGAGCTCGATGCAAGAATTATCATCGGGACGTTCATCAGCATAATACCGTCACAAATTTCATCAGAAGAAGCGGTACGGTCACAATCATGTTCGACCGCAGTACGGCAATGAGCTTGGAGTATTATCATCGACTATGAAGACGAACACCACTATTCCGAGGTACGGTCATCATAAATTCTACGGTTAGACCGGCCGCGAGACATCACTATAGCGCGGGAAATACGGCCATGAAGAAAGAGCAACTGTGAAAGTGGACGCGAGAATACAGCAGCGGTACGGCCGCTGAACATACGGCCGCAAACGTGTGCGCAATTAAGTTACGGTCGTTTACAACAGTCGTACGGCTCAACGGAACTGCAACGTTCTGGTAAAATTAGATGATTTTAATGATGTAAACTGATAGGATAAAATGAAAGTATAACAAAAGAGATAAGTCTCAAAACTAACCTAACAAAAAAAACTCCCTATTTAATCAGGAGCTATTCATCGATGGATTAGTGCAGTTTCACCACGCGTGGCCATCTCTTAATAATTGATCGATAGCCAGCAATGAAAAAGCGTTCGAAGTTTGAATTATTAAATATTTTAACATCTGTATAAATCGTGAAGAAAAAGCAGTGGATATACGAATGATAATTGCGTAAATATATAACGCGATGATTCTTTTTTTCAAGACGACCGTGAGTTTATTTCAATTTTGATTTTCACATGATTACTATATAATCTATTCTGCGATCTTATTAAGATATAACGCTCTGTGACGAATTTTATTCCAGAACGAAATTAGAAGCAAAATTCCTTCATTTTGCTTCAGGTACGAAGTTATCATGCCATAAATAAACTGTTCGCTACCTAAAAAATCCTTAGAGAAAATGAACCATCAAGAACTCGAAGATAATTCATAGATTGCATCACCATTTAAATGACTAATTTAATGCTTACGAAATATAGTGCAATATAGTTGACCTCATCAGGTTAGAAATAAAAGTTATTCACTGATTAGCTCAATAGTTGCGCAAGGCATGCATTCTCTGAAATATTTAGCAACGGTTGGTCAATGCATCAATAATTATGTCTCATTCATGATTATCAATCATTCATCAATAATTATATCTCACTATGCATCATTTTATTTGTCATGAGTAACGCCCAATATTGCACTTAGCTTGTTTTTTGCTCGAAAAGTTTTAGTCTAAATATAGTATGCCTTGATAGCTTTTGAATACTCTGTGATGAATTTTTTTAATCTCAATTGTAACAACTTTGTGTCGTTTTTTTCGAATTTTAATGTTAGAACATCTATTTAACGATGATAATATTTAATTTCCAGGAGATTGTATTAATTCTGCCGCATGAAAAAAAATTGAATAAATGCCAGTCCCCAACCACCAGGAATAAAGTGTTTTCACTCCTTTTATAAGCAAAAGCAAAAAATACGTTTATAAGCAAAATTAAAGTAGCTGATAAAACGTGATTCACCAATAATGAGCAATAAGTTCAGTTAAGTTTCTTTGGCACACGAAATGTTTTGTGGTAAACAGTAGGAAAATACTTTCCTGGTCATCAAGCTTGGTAGGGGTTCTTGAAAATTTTAACTACTGATTATGTTAGTAGACTTGAAGGCTTCAGTGATGTGCAGTGATGACTGGCTGTGTTTTAACAGATTTTTAGTCATGTATAAACAGTTTGTAGGCATATTCTTTGGAGAGAATTTGTGTCAGGTAGTTCCCTCAGAATGGCTGGTCAAACAAAATGAAGCTATTTATGTTTGGTGGCCGCCAGAGATTATATTAAATTATTTATCTGAGCAGAAGGCGCGTGTTAGGAAACGATGGAAACGCTTGCTAGTCAAATGCACTGTGACCACCTCAAGTATGTCATACATATAAACATCCAAGCAAATATCGACAGTCATTTGTTCCCTGATCTGCATATATAAATGATATATTAGATTACAATTTGCACCACCTGATTTGTATGCGATTTATGCAATTTCGTCTATCACTAGGAAAATATTCTGTAACTCTGAAGCAAATAGCATACTATGCCCAGAAATCGCCGTGCGCTTGCAGTGACCAAATGTCCTCCCGCTTTTACGATTAGCTTATAGGCTGCCGCGCAAGGCCAACCTGTGCACTGTGCTTACGTAATGGATTTTGTGTGAAATTGTTTATATATATTTCAGATAACCATTCAAGAGCTGTGCACCACATGTTACACGGTGATGCATGCGTAATCAGCAGGTTCAGAAAATGAAGCCCGTAGCCCCAACCTTGATATTTGCAAAACAAACGGAAGTCGTCACCGTGAAGCATTGTATCACGAACAGCATCGGGCAGCGCCCATCGAGAAAACCTCCTAATTTTTTTTCAGGTCTTTCTGTTGCATCTTCAGGTGCGTTTGAAATTGATATATTCAATGTACAAATTGAATACTTTGCTATTATTGATAATATATTGGCATATATTTGTTAGGATACATAATGTTGTCATGAAAATATAGTATTATATTGCATTACATTATATTATATTCTATGTTATTTTAAACAATATTATTTTATAATAAATCGTATCCTGTTAAATTATATTACATTAAATAATTAAAATGTATGTAACTATCATTTATATTTATCAACAGTTTGTATTGTCTGAAATGGAAATATGAGTGATAACAATTGTAAATAAATTTACTGCAATTCATTTGCTTTTTTGTAGCGTGTTAAATTATCTCCAGTTATTCAGTAATTCTAATGTACAGCATTTTGATTACTTTATATTTGTTTTATTTCTCGATACATTTTTCAATATTATTTCCTGATTGTTTCCGAAACTCTGAGTCAATCTCGCAAGTGCAGTCGTTCGCCCTTGCAACGATTAATATTGATCACCCTGTATCAGCTGCAATTTGAAATATGGCTGAATTTGTAGTAATATAGTCCTCACGATACGCATGTAGCATTTTTCAAAATATTTTTAGCAGGAATCGGCTCGTGTAATATTACTTGAATTGCCTTGAAATGAGTTCTTTTTTACTCAAGTTCTGCGCGTACACCGCTGCATAATGAAAGTTCTCCAGTTTCAGATGCCGATTCTGCAACATCACTTTATCATTGAGACTCCATGTTTGCCGAGACTATGGTTGCTAAGACTCTATGTTCGCCGAGACTCCATGTTTGCCGAGACTCCATGTTTGCTAAGACTCCATGTTTGACGAGACTCCATGTTGACGAGACTCCATGTTTGACGAGACTCAATGTTTGACGAGACTCCATGTTTGATGAGACTATGTTTACTAAGACTCCATGTTTGCCGAGACTCCACGTTTGCTAAACCTCCATGTTTGCTTAGACTCCATATTGCTAAGACTCCATATTGCTAAGACTCCATGTTTACTAAGACTCCATGTTTGCTAAGACTCCATGTTTGCTAAGACTCCATGTTTGCTAAGACTCCATGTTTGCTAAGACTCCATGTTTGCTAAGACTCCATGTTTGCTGAGACTCCATGTTTGCTAAGACTCAATGTTTGCTACGACTCCATGTTTGCTAAGACTCCATGTTTGCTAAGACTCCATGTTTGCTAAGACTCAATGTTTGCTAAGACTCAATGTTTGCCAAGACTCAATGTTTGCCAAGACTCCGTGTTTGCTAAGACTCCATGTTTGCTGAGACTCCATGTTTGCTGAGACTCCATGTTTGCTGAGACTCCATGTTTGCTGAGACTCCATGTTTGCTGAGACTCCATGTTTGCTGAGACTCAAGGTTTGGTGAGACTCAGTGTTTGCTGAGATTCAGTGTTTGCCGAGACTCGGTGTTTGCCGAGACTCAGTGTTTGCCAAGACTCAGTGTTTGCCGAGACTCACTCAGTGTTTGCCGAGACTCAGTGTCTGCCGAGACTCCATGTTTGCTGAGACTTAATGTTTGCTAAGCCTCCATGCTGTGAATCGATGTGATCGAGAACAAAAAATGCAACTGATTTACATTCTGCGATTTGTAGCATTTATTGTATGCATTTTTATATTGTGCAGGAGCAATTGTCTGGTCGGGACAGCGCAGAAGTAGGAAGGACGCAACTAAGCCAGCCACAAATCGCACAACTCTACCAACCCCTCAACTCCAAGTCGTGTAATAAGATCTGCGGTTGGCATCTCGACTCCAAATCGTCAAGCAAGCGAGCCTGCAGTCGCTCCAGCCCGTATTCAAGTCGCTGCTTTGGATGCGCTCACTGCTGGTCCTTCGCATTCAGCAAGTTGGGCTGGGCTTGTGCACAATGTAGGTTTTGTACCAGGTGACGACAACCTACATGATAGAGGTCGAAAATTTTTCCACTTTCGAGTGAGAACATTTTAAAGTGAATTTTATAGGTAAAAATTATGAATGCATTCTAATGAATTTGATATGGGAGGATACCTAACAATCTAGGTACTGTTTTTATTGCTCAATGCGGAGATGCTCAAAAATTGAATACGAAGTATCGGCAGTATTAGGAAGGGTATTTGCTTATTCAATTATAAGAAGTTAAGAAAATGAATATGCTCTCATCAATATAGGGTAGGTGTGGCTACAAAAGTTTTAAAAAATTTGCTACTAGCGTGTTCGGTATTGGACATCATATATTTTTTTGGATGCCACCGCATGTATTTGTGTCCTCAGATTATAGTCATTTCTAAGCGATTATAGTCTTTTATAGTCAGATTATAGTCATTTCTAAGCGATTATAGTCATTTATAGTCAGATTATGGTCATTTCAGTCAAATTTTGATTTTCTTGTGTTAGGAAAATCACCGTTATATGAATTAATTTTTCGTAGTGCGCGACTGCCGGTATGACATGTTTTTTTTCCATAAGGTGCATATACTTGTATAACGAAAGTTTATTCACAATTCCGTACATACCCAGTTAAATTTCGGAGACGAATTCTGCGCCGTTCACGGCAGAAGAACAGTTTAGCAGCAGCATTGCAGCAGGAATCTCAGGACACTCTCCCTTGTTAAAAATCGAGACAGGGTGCAGCCGCATATTGGCTGGAATTTCACAGCGTCATATATATAGGCAACGGCTTGCCGTCCGTGTCCGTTTCGAGGCAGGGTGAGAGCAGGATATCAATAGGGGTGAATTGGGGGTTTGGTAAGAAGTGGGAGAGAGAATGAGTTTCTATGTTGACAACGAGTTTACTGAAACGTTTTGTATACTATATTTATTGAAATAGCATCGCAACTATACGTCATAACAATGACAAAGCACATACTAACTTGTTCACGATTTGTACTTCATATTATACGTGTCTCTTATACACATCT